TCAAAGCAAATAAATTCAGGTAAGGCAAATTGAGGTTCAAAACAGAGGACAGACCCTGTATCAGATGGAGTGCATCTGCCCAACATACTACTGTCGGTTTTAATTTGCGAGCAGAAAACTCCCGTTCGATTTGGGACCGAGCGATAATTCAATTGGCTCCCGTTTTTCAACCAGATTTGGGCTAAATATTCATCCTTTTCTCTGCGTTCAATCTATCTGCAAGTCCAATTTTTTTTGGTCTGCGGTAGAATCCCAGTGTTCAATGCAAGGCTTCTCCGAGTCCCTGACTCGGTACCGAAATTTTCCAACTTGAACTTGAAGTTTCTTGAACTGCAATAATCTCTCTCCAAGTCTTCCAGCCCCTGATTCCTGTGATTGACATCCCCAGACATCATCCGATATGATTGTTCTCTGCCGGAACGCTCAGGAGGAACCTTCCGCTTAGAGTGAGTTGAAAAATTGACAGTCACGTGTATCCTCGACGCGACGCGACGAGCCAAATAATGCCACACAATCGCCGAGAAGAGGCCGTTTATAAATCTTCATTGCAAAAGCGCTGGGTCAATAGCTAAATATACATAAATGGAAAAGGACTCCAATGAATGCAAGCTGATTCAGACAATATCTGTGTGTACACTCGAAAGGACAGAAGAGTACCATAGATTACGAAAGATTCAGTGCCAAACCGTTTTCCACCCAGATTTGTCAGTCCAGAAAAGAATGTACCCTTCACAACATCAACCCACATGAACTTTTTCCAATTCAATGGCCCTGTCGGACAATATCACACTTCGGCCTTGTCAATTCTCTTGCTTCTTGCCTCGATCCAGAGACCCCAGTACTTCTGCAGAAAATGCAGGGCAGCTGTGGTAGACGGCATGTTTGCTGGGCGACAACTCTTCTAGCTCAGATTATATATTTAGGAGGTTTCTAACTTGATCACTCCTGCAACTTGAGTGAATTCAATATACTTGTATTCAATTTCCAGGCAACGGTAAGTAAAGGGATCTTGAAGCTTGAAGAGTTAGTTGAATCAAACACAGCCTTCAGACTTCACGGTTAACGTGCATGGATGGCGGCGGAATGCGACCTCCCGAGGTTATACTGGCCGATGTTTCTCAGAATTGTACGGCTTTGGACTCCCAGTTCGAGATGTAGGGACTCCGTCATGTCCAAGATGTGTGCCTGGATGCCTGCGTCCACGATGGCTGTGATTCCACCCGGATGTTCACTGATTCTAGCGAGAGCCGAGACCGCGCTTACACTGGCAAGATCGGTGAGCCTATCCGTGAATAAGCACCAAATATTATTGTCGAATTTTGCTTCAAGGACTCACTGCAAGATTTGCACAAGCCGCTGGCAGATTACCCCGAGAACGGCTGCTGATGTGGTCTTCTGGGCCGCAAGGTGTCCCAGCAACAGGCACGTCCGTGTCTGGATGTCTGAGCTCGGTGAAGTAAGCAGTTTGGCGATGGAGCCTAACAAGTTGGTGTCCACGACATCTTGTGCGCCTTCGGGCGAGTTGGTGAGCAGAGAGAGTGCGTGTACTGCACTTTCGACGACCACAATATCTTCGTCACTAAATAAGTATGCTAGTCAACATCCGCTTCATGACCACACACTCAACACTCACCATAATAATGTCACAAGTTGTTTGCAGGGTTTCACTTCTAAGACCACCGCTGTGAGGGTCTGTGCCAATTCTGCCGGCATCTGACACGTCCATTTACGAACCTAAATGCTCCGTGATTCGAGCAGTTTCGTAACGCAGTCTAAGAGATTTGCGTCCACTGCGGCCTGTGCGCCTTCCGGTGACCTGCTAATTCCATACAGTGCCGCTACCGCACCCTCGACAGCCACCAGCTTTTCGTCGCTGGTTCAGAATCAGCCGCACCCTGCTCAAGAATAGGTCATTAAAACGTACCTCAAAAGTGATATGAGCTGTTGGCACGGCTTTACAGCGAGTACAACTGGCAACGTGCTCTTGTGGGATGAAAACTGTCCCACTACAGCGCACGCGCATTTCCGCACCACGGGTTGAGGTGAATTAAACAGTTTCATCACGTGTTGCAACACATCCATGTCCAGTGCAGCCTGCGCATCTTCGCGCACTGAGGCGATCCAATGTAGTGCCTCGGCCTCATTCCAGACGACACGCACATTTTGGTCGCTGATCCATGAAATCAGCACACCTATTTCAAAGCAGAAGAAGCCAGACTCACTGTAAGTACAGAACAAGCTGCTCGCATGGGTTTATAGCAAGAACTCTGATGGCCCGCCAGCTGTCTCAACAACCTGCATGTCCACCTCCTGATATCAGTGTTCTGTGGGTTAAGGAGTTCGGCCGTGCGGCCCAACACCCGCGCATCAACCATCGCCTGCGTGGTTTGGGATAATACGGCAATCCGGGACAGTGCACACAGTGCAGACTCTATGACCTCGTCATTGTCGTCCCTATTCCGGAATCAATTATATGCTGCGATTCCAGAATCCAGAACTCACCGCAAGAATTCCACGGTCTTGTTGAAGGGGGTTCACGTGAAGACAGGTTCCAATATTCTCTTGTGGCTCCCCCAGCAGCTGGCATGTCCATCTCCTGACATCAGTGTTCAATATCTCAAATAGTCCCGCCACGCAATCCAGCACCTTTGCGTCCACCACAGCAAGCGCGCCTTCGGGTGATGCGGCGATCTTGGACAGTGTGCGCACCACCCGCACCATAATCTCCCGATATCTGTCCCTGATCCATGCTCAACACTTTATTAGAGGATAAATAATCCAAACTCACCGCAAGTCGGATGAGACAAGCTGTTGGCAGTGCTTTAAGTATATCGAGGGTGTGGCTCAGCACATTTTCCAACATCCGCCTTGGCCATTCCAAGTTCCTTGTTCCCTGCTCGACTACCCAGTCCAACACCTGTGCATCCACGGTTGCTTGCGCGCCTTCGTTACGTGTAGCAATGCTGCTCAGTGCCTCTACCGCACTCTGGATGACGCCGGTATGTGTGTCCCTGGTTGATGATCAGCTAAATGTCAAGAATAATCACCGAGACTCACCGCAGAAGGGATACGAGCTGTGGGCACGGGTTTACCCTCAGAACGGCCATTGTGGTGGACTCGCGGCACGCTAGGTTTCCCAGCATCTCACATGTCCATTTACGGACCTCGACGTTCGGTGATTCAAAAAGGGCCGACAAGCACTCCAACAAAATTACCTCCTGTAGGGCTTCCGGATCTGAAGAGTGGATAATCCAAAATAGTGTGTCTGCTGCGCTCTCCCGAGCGGTGACGCCGAAGGCGGTGTCATAGAGAGCTTTGTCACTGCCCCAGAATCAACTCCTAGCTCAAAAACGGAGAATTGAGTGCTTGCCGAAGTTTCACGGCCGAGGCGGTGATCGCTGGTAGTGTGGGCCGGTGGTGGACCAGTTGTGCCAGCATTCCACATGTCCATCTCTGGATCCTGGCCTCCCTGGAGCCAAGCAGCATCTCCGTTGAAATGGTGCAGTGAAGCGCAGCCGTGAAATCTAATGCTAACTGAGTGAGACCTTAGTCTTAACTCAAACCAACACCAAACTCCAAAACTATCAACTCCAACTAAGCTTTATCGTATTTTGTTTGGGAGGTAGGTCAGGTGTATCGACCGTCAATCTCAATAGGTTGGGACAATGTGAATTCTTTGGGTTTTCTGGCTAAGAGAGTTCCGGAGAACAAACTGGTGTATGACTTTAACTAGCGTAAACACCAGTAGGTATATCTTTGGCGTAGACTGGTTAGGTCTACTGAGCGAACTGGCGAGCTCGACCCCAAGTGGCGAAGTGGCGTATGAACGGCGCAACTAGGAATAGTTCTACGTCCGAGCAAAGGGGCGTATGACCAGGTGGTGTACGAGCAGCACAACTAGGAATAGTTCTACGACTGGACGAAGTGGCGGAGGCCAAAAACGGAGGGACAACTCAGGCTTATGCCAAGGGAGTGTGTGCGTCAAACGGGATAAGGAACAGAGTCCTTATAAGCTGCTAAGAGCTATGTGCCAAGAAATGGGGGAGTTATTCACTGTCTAACTACTGAAATACATGCGGCTTTTATACTACTGGAGGGATTGATCCCAACTAACTAGGAGAATGATAGGCGACTCTACAAGCGAGGAACTGATGTGAAGCGAGATATATCTTGGCTGTTGGGCAGATCTAGAGGCATCTGCCCGGGTATTATTTTGATGCTGGTGCTGCCAATCACCAGTACTTCCTGTTTAAGCCACCTCTGCTTACATTCTCCTCACGTAGGCTCGGTTAGGAGCTTCCGCAGTCCTCTGTAGTGTGGTCTAATTGATGGGCTGACTGAGCCCTTTTACTTAGCTGTTGGGCACCAACATTGTACATGTTTGATTCCAGTTGGGCGCGCCACATTACCACGTGATTGGTTTAGGGCCGGCCACTGCACCACTGGGCCAAGCCGCCTGAGCGATGAGGCTACGCCAAATGGCGCTGGCGCCACAACACCTTTATGAGTTCTTCCACCAATGAGTCTGCCAATAACAATAGCTTTTATCCCGAGTTTTCCTTCCAACGCCCCTTGATTAACCTCACACCCATGTTGACATCGAGCTTGTTGCATAGTAATGCAACTTGCTGGACGAGTCCCATGGCTAGCTAGTGTGGGCGAGTCCAAGCTGTAATCTTGGGCTCATCTAGAACCTGCCAATACATCCTCAGTCTCCTTGGTTTAGATGCTAGTTTGCAGCCTTAATAACGGTTTTAATGCTCAGTCTCGGACATAGACTAACACCCTCTAAGTCTTATGTATTCCTTGGTTCTGGGTCTCCAGCGCCAGAACCATTCAAAAGCGATAATTTCAGGTGTGCACGGATGCACACCCTATCACCATGCACTCCAACACTTCTGCATCCATGAGAGCCTCCGTGCTTTCCCGCCATTTAGCGAGGCAATGTAATGCATACGCCTCGTCTTCCATCCCAAATGGAAACGGAAATGGAAATGGATGGCTCCATGGCACAGTGGTGGTGCACCCAGGCTAGATAAGATATATTTCATTCTCCTTTATCTGGTTGGCTGTTGTTCAATTCAACGTGGAGGCAGGATTTTAATTTTGTTTCTGAGCTTTGATGTAAGGAGTATTCATCTATGGATATAGATATTGTTTTTTAGTAATGGAATGTATGTGTGCTACACTGAGGCTTTTAAGACTGGCCAGATAGTACAACTGAAGAGATGGTCCTGAATTTTCATTCCCAGTAACATAAGTTACTGGGTCTTAGAGAGCCTGATTTTCAAAAATTGGCCGTGCATCACATTTTCGTCAGCAATTTTTGCGTAATCACTTTTTCTCTCCGCCAAAATTCGCCGGCCAACTCTCGGCTTGCACAAGCCAAGGTTGCTGGCAACGATTCGCGAATCAAATTCCATAATCTTGCTTATTCTGCCTCTAGAATGTTCTCTGCAATTCCACTGCATTTCGGAGTGATATGCCCGGAGGGAACGGAGTCACTGGTGGCTGCCGGTGGCTATTGGTGGCTGCCAGCGGCCAAGGGCATCCAGTGTGGTCCAAGATTAGATAATGAATGTCGGCAGATGCCGCTGGCTTTGCACATGTTAGAAACCAGATCCCATGACCCCGAAGCTCATCCACTGGCCCCCGATGGCCCTCGTCGGAGGCAGCTGGACTCCTCCGTTTGACCTATTTAAACATTACAATTTGTTTTGATCTCTGCCCTGGATATTAATTCTATAACATTAGCCAGTGGCCTACAGCAGAATCCGGTGGCTTGGACAAATTTTGAATATGTTGAGGTATCCGAAATTAAGCAGGTCGAAATTATAACCTCTGAAGATCATCTAAACCTTGGGGTAACAGTGCTATGATAGCCTTCGGTTTCTGTAGTCCCAGTACATTTGAAAAGATATCCAAAGCCAGTGGGGTCCGCTGGCTTCGCTAAATATTAAGGCTCTTAATTTGGGAGGATTTTCCGGAAAGTTAGGACGTTTGACTCGATATAACAGTCCTCAATGTGTCCGTTCACTGAGCGGAGGTTGCATTTAGTGACACCACAGCCAAAAAAAAAAGAGAGAGGGAATCAAGAGACAGGAAAATCCAGTGGTAATCGCCGGATGCCACTGTCGGTGGAGTGCAACAGATTGCAGAACTAGTTTGGATTTTAAGTCCAACCTTTTTGTTGGGTGCTGTTGGAATCTGATGGGAACATGGGCGGTGCCGATGGATGCCGGCACGGGTCGCTGGTCCGAATCAGCACGTGCCCTATGGGCATATTACGGGAAATGGGCTGTTCTGCTTGCCACCGATGGACTAGGCAGCTCAGTCGTCTTGTAAGGACAACAGGGGAGGTTTTTTTGCTCTTCTACCATGTCCACCTCCGTGACCTTCTGCAAACTCCGCTTTTCTCCTCTGTGAATCCTCTCTTTGAGCAGTCTTTGATCTCTCTTGATTTCAATCTATCGCCTCTGGTGTCCTTACTCTCCATCTGGCAACAGTGTCCGTTCTATTTCTATGAAGCTCGCAGTTACTACTGGTCTCCCATATCATTTTGTTCCTGCGTTGTGAGTTGTTGCCATGAAGATCAGCTCAGTGACGGCATCAAGCTTGACAGAGGCCTCTGACAGTAGAGCGGAGATTGACATAGGTGCCTCTCAAGTTCCTGCTAGCGCTGGTACGGTCTCAAATGAATTCTGATGAGTGCATATTAACTGGCCCGGTTACAGAGTGTAAAATGGGTGAAAGTACAACACTCAGACCATTGGGGATTGTATTTCGCGTATGATAAGGTGAAGATCATCAAACGAGATTATGCATAGGGATGCTGAGGGGAATTCGATTCCGCAGTACAAACTTCGCACAACACTCACCGAGGGTTCACTTGTCCTGATGATGTCGCACTCGCAACCTATATAATCACAGACCAGAAGTCAGAGATGGGTGGTGTGAAGTCAGACAAAAAGATGAGTTGTTGCTTATGTTCACATATTTCTGTCTCACAAGCATCTGTCAGATATATGTATCACATTCTCGTTGATAGGCTGAGGAGTCTTTGGTGTTATTGTAAAGTAGAGGGTGAACCAACCAACGTTACCGGGCACTGCCGCTCGTCGGCCCTACCTGCTTTATTCATCTAATGATTTAACGTGTCCTCCTGTGTACACCCTAACTCGATGTAACCCCTACGCATTGCAGTGCATCCAATGATTTAATGTCCTCCTGTGTACACCCTAACTTGATGTACCCCCTACGCACTGCGGTGCTCGTGGTGGCACATGTCCCACCCCTTGCGTACCCTTCTAATTCGATGTATCCCCTATGCACCGGTGCTTGCGGTGGTGAGTTTTGGAGGTAGCAGAGGTACAAATTTGTTTTTTCCCCACCCTGTACCCTTTTGTCCCCCGAGGTCACCGTGGTATAAGCGCGGTAACTAAACAGGTTTGTACCCCTTCTTGTTAGAGGCACCACATGAGGTACATGGCCCCTCTAATATGAGGGGTTATTTGGTATTGGCAGGTGTTATGCGGACCCTTACGACCTGAAGCAATTGGTGACCCAAGCCTGCCAAGACATAATAAGGTCCAAGATAAATCCAAGGCCCACGTGTGTCTCGGCTCTTTCCTGCCCCCTTGCCAAGTTCATTGTTCAGATTAATTATGAGCTGAACAACCGTGGCCAGACTTCTTGGTTCGAGGGCTGGGACTCAGACTCCCATGGCTCGAGCGAGTGCCGAACTATCAAACATGTTTCGAGTCCAAACAGAAATACCACTAGGAACTCAGCTGTGAGACAAACCTCATATAGTGAATTATGAACTGGAGACTCTACCGCCATCGTCGAATGACTTCCTAGGAGCTCCATGTGTCAAATCAGCTACTCGTTGGTACCTCACGATTTGCCGGACATCTCGGGCAGTGCAGTATGCCCGACCGTCTACCACTTGAAGGTATCATGGACCGGAGTCAAGCAGACGAAGGGTGCTGATAAATGCAGCTAAAGACCAATGGTCTGGCTGGGATGGGATGATCTTCTTGGGGCAAGCTACTAGACAAACTCACAGTAGGAGTCCGGGATAGCACTGGTTCATCCTGTTGAGGCCTTGAAGTACATGGGACTTTTGCACCAAAAGCCACACACTGAACCTGGAAAGTTCAAAAGACTTGCTTGCAAGGTGAGGATTGCATCCTGCGAGCTGGAATGGATCGTGTCAAACAATTGGTGAATAAACTGATTTGCGTCCGGAAAATGGGACTCGGAAACCAGACTTCGGGATGAGAATGGGATGATGTATACACCGAGTCAAAAACAAAACAAAACAAAAAAATATGCGGACTCAACTTTATATTACGCGGGGCTCGAGTCTGTTTTACGCGCATCAAATGTTGATGGAACTCTATATCTTACGCAGAAAATGCCGAAATCATATATATTACACGGAATTCATATATCTTACGCGCGGAATAAAAGTACATCCGGACTGCCATAGGACGCTAGGTCTCCCAGCATCTTGCATGTCCAGTTACGGACCTCGAAGTTCCGGGATTCTAACAGATCCGGTAAGCAATCTAGCAAAATTACCTCCTGCGGGGCTTTGGAAAAGCGGACACTCCAAACTAGTGCATGTGCTGCACTTTCCATGGCACCGAGAGCGGTGTCATGGAAAGGTTCGTCACTGCTCGAGAATCAACTCCCGGTTCAAAAACGGAGAACTGAGCGCCCACCGCAAAACCGAACTGAGCTGGTTGAAAAGTTTCGCAACCGAGTCGACGATCGCTGGGAGTGTAGGGGTTCGTTGGAGCAGGCGTGCCAGCATTCCACATGTCCATTTCCGGATGCTGGCCTCCCCGGAGCTAAGCAGCGTCTCCGTGCACTCCAACACTCCAGCATCCACGAGAGCCTGCGCGCCTTCCTGCCATGTGGCAAGGCAATATAGTGCGTACACCCCACTTGCAACGACCTCGATGTTTTCGTCCCTGAAGAAGATCCAACAGTCTGCTGTGGCATAAATGATGACGACTCACTGCAAGATTGATACCAGCCGTTCACCGGGATTTATGCCGAGGACCGCTGGTACCGTAGTTTCATGACATGCTAGCTGTGCTAGTATCATGCACGTCCGATTCCGAAATTCGTCGTTCAGTGATTCCAGCAGTGCGTCAACGTGATACAATGCAAGGGAATTCGCCACGGTGAGCGCGTCCTCCTCGGAGTCAGCTCTCTCGTAAGTTTCCTTCAAAATCGCGATCTTTGTCGAGGGAGATACATGTTTAAACCTATGGTATCAGTCAGCTGGAGGACGAAAGAATAATGGAAGTATAATACCAGAGATAACTGGTGTAAGTCTCCACATCTTTACTCGAGAGCGGAGTCCCTTGATTCTTTCTGATCAGGGCCAATGCCTGGCGGTCGTGCATGCGCCTCAGCAGCGGCTGTGTGGCAGCGTGGAGGTTAATGTTGGGACCCGTAGGGTTGCTGTCCGACCACCAGCTATGTATACTTTCGGGGCGCCGGAACTCGTCGTTCGGCGACTCCAGCATTGCGTCGACGTGATACAATGCTAGTGAGTTAGCCACGGTGCGCGCGTCGTCCTCAGAATCAGCTCTCTCGTAAATTTCCGTCATAATCGCGGTCTTTGTCGAGGGCGATACATATTTAGACCTACGGTATCCGTCAGCTCTAGGACCTGAGTGTACAATGGAAGTATAATACCAGAGGTAACTGGTATAAATTTCGAGATCCTCACTCGACAGCGGAGTCCCGCGATTCTTTCTGATAAGGGCTAAGGCCTGGCGGTCGTGCATGCGCTTCAGCAGTGGCTTTGCGGCAGCATGGAGGTTGATGTTGGGACCCGTAGGGTTGCTGTCCGACCACCAACTATGTATGCTTTCGGCGCGGGGCTGCTGGCGGGGAGATGAAGGCATGAGAGAGGCGGCGGTCAAGTAGCGCTGAGGCTGCGCACAGGCGACCCACAGTAGACAATGAATGATATCACGCCACGATTGACAGATTCAACAGCATTGCGCGCTCGGCCTGTGCACGGCCACGCACTGGGTGCAGCTATTCATAGGCTGTGGGGATAGTCTGAGC